CCTGCAAACCCTATCTGCCCCAGAAGCATCATAAAGATCGCAAACCTTGAAACCCGTTCTTCTAACCTCTAAACCCTAAACCCTAAACTCCAAAACGCCCCCCCCCCCCCATGTCCGTAGCTGGGAGATGGCTTCATAGCGGCGAAGAGTAAAGGGCGTAGGGTAGAGGCGGATGAAGTTGCAGCATCGCTGGGACCTCGGCCCAGGGCTTAGGGTTAGGGGTTAGGGTTTAGGGTCTAGGGCTTAGGGTTTAGGGTTAAGGGTGTAGGGATTAGGGTTTATAGGGCTTATGGTTTTTAGGTTTGGGGCTTAGGGTTTAGGGTTTAGGGTTTTGGGTTAGGGTTTAGGGTTTAGGGCTTGGGGTTTCCAGGGTTTTGGGTTTCTAGGGTTTGGGGTTTCCAGGGTTTGGGCTTTTGAGGGTTTTGGAGTCTTGGGGCTCTGGAGAAGAGGGATTTGGAGTTGTGAGCTTCGGAATCTATAGGGCGTTTAGGGGTTTAGGGTCTTTGGGGTGTAGTGGGGGGGGGAAGCTCCTTCAAAGATACAGAAGCCTCATCAGCTACAGGGCCTAAACCTTATGTATGTAAATCATACAACGCCTCAACACCACCCTAAACCCTTAACCCTAAACCCTAGGCCCTAAACCCGAAAACAACCGAGACCTCGCCTCAACGACAGGGTCGCCTTCTTCCGCAAAACCCTGACCCCCAGATATAGGGTTTAGGGCTTATCGGCTCTGGTCTAGGCGTTTCAGCCTGGGGGGGGGGGGGGGGGGGGGGGTTGGGTTCAGGGTTTAGGGTTTGGGGTTTAGGGTTTACGGGTTTAGGGTGTAGGGCTCTCAGAGTGTGGGTTGCCCTGGTTACTTAAGCGCAACACGGGCCGAGGTGCTCTTGCAACGCGTCGCCGAGGAGCCTGAGCTGGGAATCTCCCAGCGCATCGAGGGCCACCTCAACTGTTGGGGGTTGGGGGGTTGGGGGTTGAGGGTTGGGTTGAGTGCAGTTGAGGGTTTAGGGTTTAGGGTTTAGGGTCGGGGGTGGTGGTAGGGAGGGGGGGCGGGGGGTTGGATTCAGTTGAGGCCTGTAACGATCGAATCACATGTTCAGCCTTGTCGACCCTAGCCCCCCAATCCCTCAGCCGGCATCGAGACCTTATGCATATTTATGTATGTATGTATGTATGTATGTATGTATGTATGTATGTATGTATGTATGTATGTGTATATATATATATATGTACATCTTCATGTATATATGTATATACACACTAAACAATATTCATAATACTAAGAAGACGAACAAAAAAACAATACATATATCTATATGAATTATGATATAAAAATCACATGTTAATATATATATATATATATGTATGTAAGGGCTCAGATCGCCGCATAGCGCGGAACTACTGTCAGCCCCAGTGCCGCATATAATGGCCGCCATGCGGAACGTGGCACGTCCAGGAGCCAGTATGGAATGCACTCCTTTTGACCAGCCTGGCCTGGTCTTTGATGACAGGAGGCTCGACGATGCTATTATGGACATAGTGTCGGTCATGGTCCCCCGATTGGTTGCAGGTGTGGGCTCAGTTTCATTGCGTGCTCTTCGGTTGAGTCTGCAGTCGTGTATTGGGCTTGACTTGACCCGGAAGAAGGACACCATCAAGCGCTTCGCCCAAAGAGCTGCCGAGACATTGGTTGGCCGAGGGGATCAAGCCAACGATCGGTGTGGCAGGCAACTTTACACCCAACTCTCCGATGATGTCTGTGTTTCGGGACGTTGGCGGGGCGTGGGAGCCCGTTGGAGAGCAAGTTGTGTGGGAATCCTTGCACATGGAGAATACGGCTGCGACGGATTGTGGCAGGTATCTCTTCCTTAACCTGAGCGATCTAGGCGCAAAGGGCACCGACACAGCTGGCATGGAAGCGCATTCCGGGATCGACACTGTCTGTTGGGAGCTCTTCTGCCTCGAGCACGGCATGCATGTCGACGGACTGTTGCCTGTAGACAAGCTTGATGATTGGAATGCTACCTCCAACACCTTGTTCGGTGAGACTGTTGCTGGTGAATACTTTTTTCCTGAACCGATCTTTTCGGAGATGAAAGCCGCAGCACAGGACTGCGATCTTAGACGGTACGCGAGTGTGGGAAAGATCGTTGAAACTGTCTTTGGTCGAATTGTGCGGCTCATCGGCAACTGCGTGGGACGCCAAACACCTTGCGCGCACAATGCTTGCGGAGGTGGCCCAGGATCTAGCTCAGGATGCCCTGGAGCGCTTGATGTAGCTGGACTAGACTATTGTCTGAGCAGCCCCGCGTCACAGCGGTTTGAGGCAGTCGTGAAGGTCACAAACGAGTTCCGGAGGAACTTGGTGCCATATCCCCGTTGTCACGCCTGTTTTGACCCAGGTGGTGATACGGATTGTTTGTCGTAGGTTCGCGCGGTGTCTTTTCCAGGCATTCGTGGTTATTCATGGTGCATAGGGACGGCTTTTCGGGCAAAGCCTGGCCGGTTAAATCCCTTTGGCCTCGCACCCATTGTTTGCTTGCAGATTTCTGCGCCGCAGACCCTCTGCGAGTGCATGCTGCCTCGAGGGCATGACCTGCGCTGCTCTGCAGGCTCGCTCCTCCCTTTCAAACTTTAATTAGGTGCATGCAAAGGCTGCGTCCTCACGGATTCTGTGCCTCGAAAGCGAAAGCGAAAGTATGTATGTATGTATGTATGTATGTATCTCTTCTACCAACTCGAAAGCCCGGTACCCCAAGCCTTGGCTGTTCCCTCTGAAATCTTCGGCCTTCCCAACACCACAAGCCTTCACTTGTTGCGTACATGCTCACCGCCACTCGCCCTTGCAAACGACCCACCTACATCTTCGGTGTGGGGTTTCCGGGTCGCACAACTCAGTCGATGTGGCAGCATACGCCACAAGACAGGAGAATGCAAGGGGCGAAAAGGCCCGCAGAAGTGCAACGCAAACAGCCCCAAAAACCTTCCCGAAACCCTAAACCCAAACCCTAAACCCAGGACTGGAGAATGTTCCCCAAAGCCCCAAGCTCTTCACCTTTCGGAGCACGCGAGACATGAGGAAAATAATACACCCCCGGGTTTAGCTTTCAACCCCCAGCATCCTAAAGCACCCGAACCCTATACAGCCCCCCTCCCTAGTGGTGCCTGGCGCTTGTGGCTGAAGAATCGACGAGGTCGCGGACTGGATTGGGTTTTGTGGCTTTGGGTTTGGGCTGATTTTCGAGCTGCCGATAATCCGATACACCTGCGACCTTCCGCTACTCGTGTGTTTCTGGCTCGCAGCTTGTGATTGAAGGCTCAAGCCGGGAAAGAGTACCCAACATGTCGTGTTCTGGGGTTGCGCCTTATATGACTTGGGGCTTAGGGTGTCAGATCCAGGGCTTGGGGAATCTTACTGGATTTGAAGTTTAGGGCCTTTGGGGGAGTTTTACTGGGGTTTGGGGCTTGCGGTTGGTATTGCTAGGAAAATTACAAGGTCTGCATGATACACAGACCTATAGGACTTGCGTAGGTTTTAGTGATCCCTGTGCTTTGCAGACCTGCCAAGATGCTAACCCCAAATAGCCTGACCCTTCAAAAGTCATCCGCACACTGGGAAGATTGTATACAGCCTACAGCCTCGGATATCCAAGGTCGGAGATGAGGGAAACACATTCTGGTCTCAGCTGAAGGTTCAAGGTTAGGGCTCAGCAGAGAATATACAGGCCAAAAACACCCCCAAACCGTATAAGCACCAAAACCAAACGCCACCTAGCGATCCAATCTGTTTGCCCACAGACTAAACCCCTACTAGGTTCATAGTAGGGAATTTGGGAAACAAATGCAATTTTCCCCCTTGGTGTATGAAGGTTGCTGACTGCAGTGCAGGAGACACTCCTTTGCTGACGGCAGTGCAGGACACACTCCCCTACTTCTGAGGGCGGCCCGGATGTCCCCCTTTTTCAAGAGATTCTAACCCTAAACCCTAAACCCTATAAGTCCCCCACCTCCCAAACAAGAACCGGCTAGTCTGGGGTGCGTGCGGTAGTGGTAGTCCATCTTCCCCCACTGCTCCCTCCGAAGCAGCCTCGAAATCCATCATTTAGGGTTTAAGGGTTTAGGTGTTAGGGTCCCTAAACCGCATAAACCCAAACATATTATAGCTGAGGATGATTGGACGGTTCACAGCTCATGGAGCTTATAGGGTTGGAGTGAGCGATGATTTCGTCATGTTGGTACTTTTGGCGGAATCGCGACGCAGCATTTCGTCATCTCATGTTTGGTTGGGGTTTAAATGTGCGAATGAATTACGTATCAACCCAGGGACGTCTGATAATCTGCACGTGGTCTTCAAGGAATACCCTAAACAACAGAAAGACCTCTCGACCCTGCCTCGGCATCTTCGGGACGGCGGAGGGGATCCTGGTGCATAATTAACTTACTTCTCCAATAACCAAGGGGAAAAAAAGCTCAACAATTCAACTAGTGGCTAAGTAAGTTAAGGCTTGGGGTTTAGGGAAAATGGTTGAGGTTTAAACCCTGGGCGTAGGGTGTAAGGCTCGTAGGGCGTAAGGCTTCATTTTTTGGCTCAGGCATTGTCCCCAGCGTTCAATTCTGATCTCATAAGAGTTCCCAGAATCACATCACTGTACAGAGCAGAGATATGAAGAGCCTACCTGGATCTATTTCCCTTTCAGGCGGCCTAAATACCTGGCTATGCAGTGCACAACTTAACTAAGACTCTTTCCATGGCTCGCGTTGACCGTAGCTACAAACCAGCTCCACAGTGTAACCGGGTGCCTTGCCACGTAGGCTTCGTGTAAAACTGAAGCCCGAAAAACCCTCTCTCGCGTCCTGCCGGTGCCCGAGCAGATTACTACTCTTCGATGAGGGCATCGACTTTTGCAGCCTGTTCATATACCTGAAGACAAAGGGGCAGGGCCTAGAATACTTGGGAATCCCCAGAACTTAAAAACGGCCTGAACTCCTAAACCGACCTTTCAGTCGACCCGATCAGGGGACGACACAGAGGAGATGCCCACTGCTTGCTGTTGCTTCATGTTCGGCTGGTTCCTTGCGTCATGAAGCACAGAGCCCTACCCAAGCGTGCTGCGAAGAAGGGAGCCCTTATTCCCAGAGGCCGACCCTAGAGCCCAAACCCTAAACCGGGAAACCATACAAAGCCAGGCTGCAGGAACCGCGCTTTCAGCCGCGCGGAAGTCAGCGTGGAGGCATCCAGCTTGCGAATGCCGAGCCTTATCCCCTAAACGCCATGACCCAATGAAACGGAGTAACCTAGGAATAAAAAGGGTGCCCCCTTTTGGCAGTAAGGGGATAATAAGGGAACCCCAACTCTAAAAAAGGAAAGGATGGCCTACTCCGGGTCCTAGATACAAGATTATGTACCCTACACCGCCAAGATCCCCACTCTCTGCAAGGCCCCCTCAGGCCGCTAGACCCAAATCTAACCTCGACTTCCACGGCTCCAGGTCTTTCTGAGATTCTCGGAAGGGAATGAGGGAATTAGGTATCCCATAGAACCACCTAACCTAATTAGGGCGTTGTGGTGGATGTGCTTCTCATTCTCTAATTAGTAGCGCTTGTGATGGTGCTGAATACTATTGGTACTTTTCTTGCTCTTGTTGCTTTCGGTAAGGGTTTCCTCGCACATATCGCCGGTGCTCAATATTCTAAGGAACATCGTATTCTGGGGCACATGAAGGGACCCCCAGTTTGGTAAAGGCCCAAATAAGACAGGAATGATTCGATTCGACCGCTTTGACCCCACAGTCCAGACTTATCCTTGCCCAAAGATGCCGGAAAATGGGCTGCGTAAGCGTTGAAAACCCGTTCCCGGTATGGAAGGGAGGTAGGCAGGCTTTAAACACCCCAAAACCTGACCCCTCCCGCCCCAAGAGCCACGAGACAAAGGAAGCGAACACGTCAGGGACTTCGGGGTTTGCTTTGACCAAGTAGCAAGTTGAAGGCGTCCGTGAGCAAGGTCGACTTGATCTGTTTGTCCAGGGGGCTGTCTGCCTGTGCCCATGCAAGGGAGTTAAACCCTAAAGCCTATACACCCCGAACCCTAAAAACCCTAACCCAAAAACCCTAAACCCCAGGGTGGGAGGGTGGGCTGGTGGCTGGGAGGGTGGCTGGGAGGCTGAGAGGGAGGGAGGGAGGGAGGGTGTGAAGGGTGGAAGGGAGGGAGCAGCATTGCGTACTGATACCATGCCGAACCGAAGGTCCACAATACATGCAATACATATGCAACTCACTGGCCGCAGAAGGATTGGTATCGATTAAACCGCCCGCTTACAACCTAGGGTTCAGGGTTCAAGGTTCAGGGTTTAGGGTTCAGGGTTTAGGGCTTAGGGTTTAGGGTTTAGGGTGTCTTTCTTCGAGGGGGGTGGGGGAGGGAGGTGGGCAAGGAGCCAAGCTCAGATCAAAGCTCGGGTCAAAGTGAGCACCCAGCATACCCGAACTCCGACGACAAGCCCTACACCCTGAACCCTAAACCCTAAAGTCCACCTTCGCCGAAAACAAGCCCCCCGTCCTTACCTTCAACCCCCCAAATGACCCTTTGACCTTGAACCCTAAACCCTAAACCCTAAACCCTAAACCCCAAACCCTAAACCTCCCCACACATGTAGCAACTCGGCCTGCATGCTAGGGCTGAGGTTGACCTCTGCGCTCGTAGCAGCTGAGTAAGGCCGGGCCGGGCTTTTTTCGGGTTGGTTCAGGGTTGTTGTTGGGGGCTTGGGGTTTTGGGGCCGTGGACCAGTGCTCCGCTGACCGGCAGCCGCTGCAGCGGACCACGCACCGCACCGGAAGCTTCTTGGTTATGTCACTGGGCCAGAGACTCTGGTCGGCTTGCCCGTGTAGTTTGCGCCGCCCTCAGAAGTAGGTGTTGGCCTTAAAGCCTGCAGGCGTGTTTGTTTTCTTTCTTCGCATCGCCCTGCCCGGTAGCAGGGCCAGTTGCGCCGACTTGCTCGCTGTGTTCACCTCGAGGTTGACCTTAAAAGGAGTGTTGCCTATTCTTCGAGTTTTTTTTGGGGAGGGGGGGGGTGTAGTCTAAGGCCATTAGGGGTGTGGAGATGTTGGAGGGGCTGAGAAGCCCAGGATCCTTCGGCTTCTTTGCAAGCTCGCCGGGTGGATCAGGGACTCGTCATCTGACGCTGTTCTTGGGATGTTCCCCCCTTATGCAATGACAGTCCCTTATAGGTGTTTTAAGAGGGGGGGGGTACTATAATCCCTATTAAGGATTGTTAGTATAAGGGGAGGTTGTTCTCTCAAATGTGGGTTTCGGGCTTAGGGGCTCTTACAATAGAAGCCCTTCAGAAGGAAGCGGATCCCCAAGAAGGGATTTGAATTCACAACAACACCCTGCTAGGCCCTGCAAGCTCTACACGACTTTGAAACCTAGACCCGAAACCCTAAACCCTGAACCCAAGAAAGCAATTCCCAATCCCCTCAAAGCTGGTTCGGGCCTCCAGCAGCCATGGCTTGAGGCTCCTGGGTACGGGTTTAGGGTTTAGGGTCTAGGGTCTAGGGTTTAGGGTTTGGGGTTGCTTAGGGTTCAGGGGTTAGGGTTTGGTTTAGGGTTTAGGGTGCAGCTTAGGCCTCCAGGTATGGGCCATCAATTTGGGTCATATACACTCGATACATAACACGGGCCCATCATACTTCGGATCCCAAGAAGCAAGGGTAAGGGACCATACGAAGTGCCCATGGTTCCAACCTGGTGGTCTTTCACGCAACTCGACCGAAAAAGCTACACTTAATACCGTGGAATAAACCCTAAACCCTAAACCCCACAACCCCTCAATCGCACAAGGCACTCATCCACCAGCACATCGAAGCCATAGAGCTCGAAACAGCTGTTCTCGTGGATGCAAGCCTTGCGAGACCGCTTTAAGTTTGGAGCCTCCGAACTTTTATAGGGCTTCGAGTTACCTGGGCCGTAAACTAAACCTTCAAGCCCAAACCCTGAACCCGAAACCACCCGACTAAGGGCTTATAGGGGCAGAGAGATCCCCTGAAAGCTGGGCAGCTCATAACGACCAAACCTGAGATCCCTGACAGCCACCGTAGATGGCCAGGGAGTGGAGTAAAGCTACTGAAAAGGAGCGCTTGCATCTCAGAAAGGGCACCCGACAGACCGAGGCTGAAGCTGAACCCTTCAACCCTTACGCCCCGAAAACCGCAAAACCTCAAAACACCAGCCCCACCCTTAACCCTCAACGCAAATCAGATCTTTCCATGTGCCAGTGTTTCGCGAAGGGCCTCCTTCGTGGCCGCACTGATGACGGGCCTCAATCCAAGTTGTTCTTAACCCAAAGGTTCCCCCCAAGGTTCTGAGAGGTCAGGAGGGCATAGGACTTAGGGGTTGATTTCGAGCTTGTGGTTTCGGGTCTAGGGGTAAAATATGGTAATACCCTAATGGACCCCCCCCCCCCCATCTATAAACCCCTCATCCCAAACAGCTACCCTGAAGAAAGTCTGAGATAGATCCTACACCCTAAGCCCCCAACCCTTCTCAAGTGACAAGGAACTCCACCCCCAGCAGGGTCTTCACAATCAGGTCCATGATCCTGCTCCACATCACCTTCCTCGCTGCTTTCAACCGTGGGGGCGGGGTGGGGACCCAAGAAGATGAAGTCGTCATCCTTCTCAGAGGGTTTTGAGACTACATCGTTTACTCAGCTTGCTTAGTAAGCAATCTAAGTAAGCAATCCCTAAGCCCCAAACACTTTAGTTTGAGAATGGACTTAGGATTTGGTCTCTCTCTGCAAGAAAGCTGTGGGATCTGAGGCTCCAAGAAAGTGGCATGCACATATGGGGGGGTTTACGATCATAAGGAATCCCTCATCTAGACCCCCAAATAGCAGGATGCCCTTATCATGAGGACCCCAAATACGGTCCCCCCAATTTGGGAACCCCCATATAAGCACCGAGATTCACATCCACACCGACACAGCGCAAGTGGCGGTTCAGTGCAGAAAGGCTCCACTTGTGACCTCGATATCTGAGTTAAAGAATTCTTAAAGAATTCTAGGTGTATGTGAGCTTAAAGGGTTGTCCACCGGGCTGAATTCGCAGGTTTTTTGAGGGTTCAGGGTTCTTGGACTGCTCTCAGGGCGCTGAGTACTTCGGGTCAAAGACCGACCTGCGGACATGTGGTCCTCAGAAGGTTTTCACCGGTGGGGAGAGGGAGGTCTGCTCATTGAACCTACGATGTAAAGCTCTGGAGACCACTAGGTCACCAGGCCAACGTTCTCAGGTAAAACTTTAACATCTCTAAGCCCTTTATGCCCTCTCTCTTTAACCCCAACCCAAATGCCACGTCTCACCTTCCTCGCCTGGGGATTTCGACGGACCCCTTCCGTGCCTACCCATTAAGGGACAATCGTACACAAGTCCCAAGCCATAAGCCCTGTAAACCACCTAAGCCTAGAACCTCTAGCTGCAGCCCTAAACCCCAAACCCTATACCCTAAACCTGTTAACCCCAAACCCTCACCGTAAACCCTAAACCCTAAACCCTAAACCCTCAACCCTAAACCCTAAACCCTAAACTCGCCTCCCACCCCCTTCCTAGAGCCGTGGCACCATAATTGTCAGCTTGCACCCGCTGGTTCTCCTGGAAGTTCTCCGCGGCCTGGTCTTAGGGTTTAGGGTTTAGGGTTTAGGGTTTAGGGTTGAGGGTTTAGGGTTTAGGGGTTAGGGCTGAGGGCTTAGGGTTTAGGGTTTAGAGTTTGGATTTAGGAGGGCTTGGGCATTTTACTTTAAGGTTTAGGGCTTGGGGTGTTAGGCTTATAAGTTTAGGGCTTACCATCGGTAGTGAAGCTAGGATTTCGGTTGTCGCGTGCAAGGTTCTTAGAACAAACTGTTTCCGAAAACCCTCAACGATCGTTTAGATTGGCAACGAAAACACCATGTGCACGGGCTTTCAGATACGAGACCGTGGAATCACAATATCTTCTTTGTTTGGCGTGCTACACTCCATAGCTTGACGTTGGTCGCGGCTTTCTCGTAGCGTGCATTCACAGAAATACAACATCAAGAACTGAAGATAGGTCCAATTTTGGCAGGAATCCAAAGCTGACTGCTTCTCCAGTGTGCTCGCCCGAAGACTCTGCTTCTCTCAGCAGGGCTCAACAGGAATGCTTCCCCGCAGTGTGCACGCGCTGAAATACAACTTCACGTGGTGTTCAGCTAGGCCCATGCATATTCCCAGATCTAATTCGGAATGGATTGCCCCTCGACTGTGCACGCACAAAGGCACGACTTCACACAACACGTCACGACTCAAAGAAAGCTGTGGTAGCTCTGGGGTCGGACACCTGCAGGTTCATGAACGGTGCCCACAAAACAGAGAGAGCAACTGCAACTAAACTGTCGGAAGTAGGAACCCGGCCGAACCCTGAAGCTAAAAGGATCCCTAGACATTCTCGGTTCATGTTAAGCCTTACCCCTGTATTTAAAGGGAACCTAGGAATGCAAAGGGCGCCCCTTTTTGGCTTAAAGGGGCTTGTAAGGGTACCTAAACCCTAAAAAAAGGGGGAATGAGGGCCTACTCTGGGTCCTATAGTGCTCAGCCTTGTTGATCGAGTAGTTGGTGAGGTGCCGATAGACATCAGCCAGATGCTCCTGCCGGAGGAAGTAGACCCTCGGATCCCCAAACCAAAACCCTAACCTCGGAACCCTAAACCCTAACCATGTCTTAGGTATCGGTTTTCGCGCTTTTAGTGTTCGCCGACGCCCAAAACGCTGGAAATAAAACGACCGACCTGCCGACTTACCTGCACATTCAGATGTGCCCCATCCCTAAACCCTAAACCCTAAACCCTTAACCGTTAACCCGAATGCTCTGAGGACCTATGGGCTCCTCCCAAATCCGCTTGGGGCGTCGAGATGGTTTCGGGTGGTGTTAGGGTTTAGGGTTTAGTAATTTAGGGTACCGGGAAGCACATGTCTGTGCCCAGTCCTCATCCGTGCCTCAGTCACCCGGGCGCTTCATGGGGATCCCGTATTCCTATGCGCCCCCCCCCCCCCCAACCCCACGCAACAACTCCTACGGCCACAAACACGCGTATTCACAGGTGAGTTGTGCTCAAGGTTTGAGTTGGGCGGGGGGGAGGGATGCTGCTCTCCCAGGCCCAAGGACATGCAGCTAGAGTAGAAACAGGCAAGGCCCAGAGCCCCAGCGTCTGGCCCCCCGCCCGAGCCCCTGCACCCTCGACATCCCTGCTCGTAAAACCAAACCCTAAACGCTAAACTCGAAATTCCAAATTTCAAGCGAAGGGAACATCATGTAGAACTACCCACTTGTAATCCGGCCCAATGGCCTGTGTACTCGGCACCTATCCTTTGGGAACCCTCCCGTAAATTAGGGTCCCTTAGGTACCCCTAAACCCTAAACCCCAAAAGACCTTGATTTAGAGAACAGCCCACATCTTACAAAGACATCCTTTAAGGCTCAGTGGCTGTATGGCTTCGAGGCAAACCGCGTCAGGCCTGGGGGGGGGTGTTGGGGTTAAGGGTTTAGGGTTCAGGGTTCAGGGTTTTGGGTTTAGTGTTTAGGGTTTAAAGCTTAGGGTTTTGGGGTTTAGGGTTTAGGGTTTCGGGTTTAGAGTTTAGAGTTTAGTTTTGGGTGCGCTTTGAGAGGGCGGGGGGTGCTAGGGGTAATGTAAACGTTAAGTTTATAATGGGTGGCAATGATAAAATTCGGCGGGCCTGGGTCCAAGACTACGGGAGGTTTTCGGGCTGACATGTCTAAACAAAGCTAGAGAGGGGTCCGGTGAACAAAAACTGGGGCGACATTCATCAAATTTTGGCTGCTGAAGTCTAAAAATTTTGTTGCAGATTGCTTAAGAGTTCCATTGCAGAGAAGTTGTCCTCATCCGAGCTGGCCAGAAGAGGATAACAGACAGACACAGTCGCGGTCGCAGAGCAAAAAGAGCTGCAGAACCCTTCTTGACAACTGACCCCGTCCAGACGCCCAGACCCCAGACCCCCAGGCGCACTTGATGACCGAAACCAAAACAAAATCTTGGGGGGGGGGGGGGGGAGGGGGGTTATAAATGTAACCCGAACATTCGGGCTTCTAGGGTTTAGGAAGGATGACCTTAACCCCCCCCCCCCCCCAAAACCTAAGGTTTGGGGCTCAGGATTCGCAGCGGAGGTCTTAGGAATGTTTAGGGCTTGGGGCTTGAGATGCTTCATTCAATTAAGGCTTATAGGGCCACTTAGAGAGTGTAGGAGAGGACTACAGTGTTGGATTTAGGGTTGAGGCCTGGGGGTTTGTAAAGGATGAGGATGTTGGTTTTCGGGTTCGGGGCGCGACGGGGTGTCAAGGTAGGGATGAGGGTCTAAGCTCTCAGCTCAACTCAGCTGCATCCATCCCAAGAAAAACGCACTGGGTACCATCTGGGGGTGTATCGGGTTTAGGGATTAGGGATTTCGGGCTTAGGGATTTGGGGCGTAAGTTCCCGCGTCTTCGGACTTCTTGCAAAGCCATGGGGCCTTCCCGGTAGACGTAGGCCCGGAGCGGGCTGAAGGAGGTCACCAAGACGTAGATGCGAAGGTCGAACTTCAAGCCTCCCCAACAAAGGGGACAGAACATGCTGGGTCCCCCAACCTGGGTTCTCCCCTTAGGCACGCTCATCCTCTCAAGCCCCATAAGGAGATAGTTATTCAATATTATTCATGTACATTTGTAGGATATGTCTAGGGATGTGTATTGGTTTTGGGGCCATCAAAAGTACCGACGGAAGAAGCAACGAAGGAAGCAGGAAGAGACGGCCCTACTCGTGATGCATCGCAAAGCCCCCCCCCACCCACCCACCCCCCCCCCCCCCCCCCCCCCCCCCCCCCCCCCCCCCCCCCCGCCCACCCAACAAAAAAAATGAACGACGCAAGTTCAAGTTCCTTGGATCAGGAGCGGCTTCTCCACGTACCTCGACACGACCACCTGGGAAGTAGGGCAGTGCAACTTAGGGACGTTTTGGGCATCAAGCCCCTTAAGCCCTAAAACAGCCGAGGGTTTAGGGTTTAGGGTTTAGGGTTTAGGGTTTAGGGTTTAGGGTTTAGGGTTTAGGGTTTAGGGTTTAGGGTTTAGGGTTTATGGTTTAGGGGTTTAGGGTTTAGGGTTTAGGGTTTAGGGTTTAGGGTTTAGGGTTTAGGGTTTAGGGTTTAGGGGTTTAGGGTTTAGGTTTAGGGTTTAGGGTTTAGGCTTGAGTGTTTAGGGTTTCGGGTTCAGGGTTCCCACAACTTTGAAGATGCAGAGGCTCACCAGGATGCCAACTCGAAACCCCCACAACCCTAAACCCCGAACCCGAAACCCTAAACTCCCAAGCCCTGAACTCCTAACGCCGCCAGAAGGCACACAGCAACACAGCACCACACACCCTCAGAAGCCTCAACAACCCCAAAAAAGGTACCCTCGACCCCAAACCCTAAACCCTAAAACCCTATAACCCTATAAACCCGAAACTAAACGCCAACAGCCCTCGACTATGAATCCTGTGAACCCCTAAGCCCGAAACCTGGACCATCCGTCTGGTTCTTAGTAAGGAATGAGGGAAGC